ATAGGCTTTAAAATGTGCCAAATGATCCCTCAGGCGATTGTAGGGGCTGTGGCACACCTAAAAACTCAAAAACTGCAGGATTTCGCGGGGAACCCTGCCATTTAGGCCCATTGCGCCCCCTTACGCCCAAGACGGGCCTCCAGCCCATGTCCGTGTGCGAGGACAGAAAGGTGGCGTCGGTGAAATCCCGCGCATTTGTCGCTTGAACTTCGTTGTGCTCCATGCGATCAATATCTCATCAGCTGTCAAAGGATTCCATTTTTTATCTTCCTTTCTTTCTTCTATGTGTACCATTTCTCTTGTACGGTTTCTCTTGTACCATTTCTCTTGTACAGCCCTCTAATCACGGATATGACATTTGTTTTTTATCCCAGCGTCATTTGACAGCAGTAATGTGAGAAAGTGCAGCTAGTGTTATCCGGAGCTATACCATTGCAGCTACTCTTCTCTTTGAGGCGTTTGCGCCACGACCTTTTTTGCCAAATTTGATCCAGACTTCGTTGCTCGGATCATCGGGTTTATACATACAAACAGATTTCGCACCTCGACCACGGGATTGACGTTTTTTAGCGAGAACCCCTTCATATCATATTACGCATTATTTTTCAGCTGTTTGACAGTTTTAAGACACTCCTTGTTCAAATTGGCGGCTAGGATCAAAATCCAATAAAACACAGAAAGAGAAAAAGAAGGGAGGGAGAGAGACAGATGAGATAAGGAGATGCAGGTGTAATTCAAAATAACGCCAAACGGCATATCGATACAGCTGTGGCAACACGGCCACGCATTTCAGCCAGCGCGAAAAACTCGTCCGGACCCCGCCCCTTCGTCGTTCTTTGCTCGTCCAGCCCCGGTTTGGAAAAGAGCCCCATAAAGGGCATCCCCACTATTTTTCTTCGCTTTTTCTTTCTTAATGAGTAATTTCCTGCGTTCCAAAATAGTTAGTCCCTCAGTCCCCATATGTGGTCCCGGGCCGTGCCTTTAAGCAAACACCTCTGGAGAACAGATTTTCTATTCTTGAAATTCGTTCCAAAAGCATCCTATTGAGATTCCCTTGCTGAGGTTTCTAGCCAATCTTTTGGCAAATGTATGAGCACGCTTAGGTGATTATTAGACCTTCGATTGGAATCGTAAATGAAGGCATTGCTATTTTTCGCCGACTTCGACTTTCAAGCTACCCCCCCCCCCCCCCCCCCCCCCCTAACGACTAAAAATTCACAAAAATTATTCCCTCAACCGAAGCTGTTTTGATATTCTTATACTACGAGAAGTTTCCTATCAGATGATATCAAGCTTGCTTGCAAAACATTTCACTTTTGGAACAAAATTTCAATTGAAAAAAACGCCATTACTTATGTGCCAACCCAATATTTTTGGGCGTTTTTACTAACTTTTCACTTCTTACGTTACTCTTTCAATAAGGAAGTATTTTTGGGCGTTTTTACTAACTATCCACCATTTCTTCATACGTGAGTCAATTATGAAGAATCTACAAATTCAGATCTGGACTCGAAATCCTAAGCGTTGAATGTGCTTTAAAAGGTGCTGCCTCACAACCAACCTACATATAAGGCATAGGACCGGTGAATGAAACTCACCGAATTGTTCCTTCAAAGTGGGCATACTCGTCTTCGATTTCGAAGCGATACTGTCGTACTCTTTGGTGGGTAGACATGCGAATATAACGAAAGATAACATATTCAATGCAAAGAAAGTGCCGTAAATCGAGCGAATTTGAGTGTCCGTGTAGGAGTGTGAAGTGTTCTCGCTTGATGAGTTTGACTGAAAAGAAATTAAGTAGAAAATGTGGTAATATGACCAAACTGACAAAAATGAGCACGTACAGGTGAAATCAGGTAGAAAATCAGCGCCAGCGCCCCACCGCCTATGAACATGCTGAAAAATGAATTGCGACTATCTCAGATTCAGAAAGATCTTGTACAATATATCAGTAAGGCGCGGAAACATAGACACAGTTGTTTTCGCCGGAGACACTGAAGCGGGTCAGGGAGAAACTGGGTTTGGCGCAGCGCCAGCCCCTTCTCCACCTATCATCAGTGCGGGCAAATGAGAACAATTGGTGGACAATTGGTGCTCGCGCCGCCCCTAATAATTCCGACCCGCCCCCTTTTTCGGCACGCGTACCAGCGTTTACAGCAGCAAAATCATAAACTTAACCAGGTATACAGCTGTTGTACACAGCCTCGTTGCCTAAGCGCTATTTCACCGCTACGCGCGACGCTCTGCAAATTCACAAGACCAAGATCCGAGAATAATTTTCAATTGACACCATCGACACCACCATCTGACACCATCGGTCAAACTGTGCGCGGGCACCGTCCCCCATTTAGCTGCAAGAATCTATCCAGCACTTGTGTAATTTTGTATAGCCCAAGGCACTAAATTTCGGGGGAGACAAGCGCTGCGTCAGTTAGTAGTCAAAGAATCGCCAAGAATTCAAGCCATTACACAGACTTCTCGCAGCTTATGATGGAGCGCGTCATTGAGACTGGGTTAAGCGAGCCGCCAGCCCTCTGTACTCGAGCTGTTGAAGCGGCTAAGACGACAATTGATGAAAAACGACTGATATGAACCATATGATGCAGTCATGTCGTTTGTTATCGATCGAAAAAGGGAAAGGAAACGGGCGCTGCGCCGAACCTGAGACCCCCCCCCCACCATTCCCGCAACCACGACAGAGGTCGATCATTGCCGCGCGCAGCGTCGACACTAAAGTGTAGGGAACAATTACTCTCACCTGCTATGACCGACCGCTGTCTCGATGCCAGTATTAGATTCCAGAGTTTGTCTTGAAGAATGCTCCGACAGGTACGCGCCTTCGCCATTGTTATAGACTGAAAAAGACTTGGTGATGTTGTTTAAGTCTCTGAAAGAATGCTTCCAGATCATATAGTGGGAATCTAAAAGTTTCAAAAAACTGAACATAATGTGGCAGCGCCTTCTATAGCATAAAAACACTAAGTTCATAATGGCAGGATAAAGCTGGCTGACTATTTATGAATATCTGCAAACGCAGGTGGCTTTCTTGCACCATCCCACAGTCG